AGACAGTCTTTCACAGAGTGGTCAACATCTTAACTTCTGAAAGACACAGCCTCTCTGGGATGCTTTTTTTTATACCCAGTGGTGTTACTGACCTGTTGCCAATTAACCTTCAGGTATAGCATTAAACAACTTTACCAGTCTTTTGTTGCCCCGTCCCACCTTTTTCAGAATGTGTTGATGCCGTCAAATTTAAAAAAGGGCATACAAAAAACAATAAAATTACTATTTTCAAATAAATGTAAGGTTCAAATGAATTGCACATCATTGCGTTTTGTTTTCATTTACATTTTGCACAGTGTCCCAACTTTTTTGGAAATGGGGTTGTATATTTCATACTGCCTGCTTTTTGGATTATTCTCATCCTTATGTTTTGTCTGGTGAGTGTTAACTAGTTTTGCTTACTTTTTCCTTCATTTGTGATGCAGCGATGAAGAATCTTCACAATCTGCAAGTGACAAAGAAATTGACCTCCACATCTGTTAAGGGACAACAGTGGGGTAGGCTTCAGATGTTCATTCTCCTGCTGTCTCTCTCCCCCACACAAACGTATACACTCACTGGACATTTGTAAAGGACTCCTAACTTACAGATTGCAGTCTGTCTGTTTCTCCGCATACCTTTTAGCCCCCTTTCACCCTGTTCTTAAGCGGTCAGAACACCCGCAGGACCACCACAGAGCAGGTATTATTTGGGTGTTGTTGGACACAGCAGTGATGCTGGAGTTTTTAAACACTGTGGCTACTCACTGTCCGCTCTATTAGACACTCCTACCTTGTTGGTCCACCTTGTACACTCTTGAAAAAAGATGGTTCTTCAAAGACTCTTAAATAAAGAAAAAGGTTCTATGAAGAAAACTGAACACTCTTTAATCATGCAAAGGGTTCTTCGCACCATAAAAGCTGTTTTCAGATTGTGCTGTACATGGTTCTACACAGAACTGGTTCTATATAGCACCCAAAAGGGTTCTTCTATTGTTAGAAACTTGACATCGTAACAATAGAAGAACCTTCTGAGTGCAGCAAATTAAAGGAACTCTTTGTAAAAATTATACAGCCAGCCTAAAATAGATCAAAGAAAGATGAAAGCTTTTGTTGACCTGATAAAATTACCTACAGTGAGGGACAAACAAAATAAGTTTCTAATTGGTACAATAACGGATGAGGAAATTAAAAGGGCAGTTTAAAATTTAACACCCAATAAGGCAGCAGGTCCGGATGGCTTTCCTTTAGAATGGTATAAAGAAATAAAAGACCTGCTGTTCCCACTAATGAAGCTCACATTTAACCATGTGCTTGAGACTGGCATAGCTCCCCCATCTTGGAGAGAAGCAGTGATTTCCCTGAAAGTAAAGAGGGTAAAGATAAGCTTGACTGTGGAAATTACCAGCCTATAAGTGTTTTAAACCAAGATTTTAAGATTTTTACTCATATCTTAGTGAAAGGAATTGAAAAGATTCTCCCCCAGATAACAAGTCTTGATCAGACAGGCTTTTTTCAGCAAAGGCAGACACAGAACAATATTCGTTGAACGCTACATGTCATTGATCATATAATAGAAAAAAAAAACTTCAGACAGTATTATTGAGCTCTGACATGGGAAAAGCTTTTGACCACGTTAATTGGGAATTTTTCTATAGGGTGCTACTGAAGTTTGGATTCCACCAGACCTTTATTAAAACTATTCAAGCATTGTACAGTGACCCAAGGGCAAGAATCAAAATAAATGGAGCCATATCAAACACCTTTAGTCTGGAGTGAGGGACTAGACAGGGCTGCTCAATAAGCCCATTGTTGTTTGTTATATTTATTGAGGTGTTAAGTCAGGATGAGAACATTACAGGCATAAAAATGCTAAGCCAAGAACATAAGATCTCATTATTTGCAGATGACATTCTAATATATATGTCAAATCCAGAGAGCTCATTTTTTAAACTGTTGGCACTCGTAGGTTACTTTAGTTCTGTTTCAGGCCATAAACTGAATATTCCAAAAACCCAAATACTAAGTTTTAATTACAGGCCGAGCCACAACACAAGCTCTAATATTCAATTAAACTGGGACGTGAATCATATAAGATATTTAGGAGTAAATGTCCCAAAGGACTTAACTAAATTGTATGTATTAATTTTAATCCTTTTAGCCAGAAAATAAAGGAGGACATGAAGAGATGAAGTTTAATTCCAATATTTAGTTTTGAGTCACGAATGGAATCAATATAAATTTATGTTCTGCCTAGAATATTGTACTTGTTTCAGACTCTTCCTGTTGAGATAATTGATAGGCAATTCAATGAATGGAATAAACTAATATCACGATACATTTGGCAAGGGAAAAAGCCTAGGGTAAGATTTCAAACTCTTGAATTAGCAAAGAATAAGGGTGGTCTTGCACTCCCTTGCATAAAGGATCATTATATATTAGCCGAATTAAGGTACTTGTTTTGTTGGTGTAACTCTGGTTATCAAGCAAGATGGAAAGAAATTGAGGAGAAAATATCTGGGAAGCTCCCAATTCAAGCTCGGCTAGGGGATAAAACACTTTAAAATTTTTTTACCTTTTTCCATTAAAAATTTAATGGAAAAAGGTAATAAATGGATCAATGCATCATTGAGAACCTGGTTAAATACTATCACCAAAGGGGGTTTGCTCGAAGAGATAAAGAATCTGATTTCACCCCAAATGTTAGACATGCACTATAAGGACTGGGCGAGTCGGGGCCTCTCTTCATACTGTACCTTCTTCAGTCAAGGGGCATTGAAAAACTTTCAGATGTTAAAAAACACTGCACGGACTAAATAATAGTGACTTTTTATTTAGTACGTCATCACATAAACAGTTTTATGAAAAAGGATCAAAAAATATTTGAAAACAATTAACTGAAAGTATATAGATTCGGGGCTTAAGGTATATAGGGGTCTTCAGGAAGCCAAAATAGGAAGTACCATCTACATAAAACAACAATGGGAAAAGGAAACCAATAGTTGCATTACAGAAGAAGTCTGGTAAAAAATACTGTGAATTTCAGTGTACGATATCAAGTTCAGCTTCATGGACAGTGTTCGGCTGGAAGAGTCTTAGCAGATATTTTATCACACCTGTTCAGAGGTCACACTACTTTGGCTTTCCCAGCTGTTGGAGGAATTGTGGCACCCAGGAAGCCAATCACTATCACTTGTTTTGGGCCTGCCCGAAAATAAATATTTTCTGGTGCAAAATCTACGCATGAACTGGTGACTATATTTAGGAAATCACCTTTAATTGGGAAGAACTTTTTTTGGGCTTCTTCACTCAACATCTATAAATTTTAAAACAAAATACCTCCTTGGAATTTTGAGTGTAGAAAAGCAATTACAAAGAAATGGCTTAAGAAAGATACCCCACCCCTAGAGCACTGGAATGATATTATCTACGAAATCTTTGTAATGGAAAGACTCACCTTCTCCATAAGGCTTCAGGAAGCTAAATTTGAGGAATATTGGGAGAACTGGAAAATGTATATTACCCCAAAATGCCCCTCTTCTGTTTGAATTTGTTTGAATGTGTTTAAATGTGCTTATTTATTTTCAATTTTTCATTTAGCCAGGTTAATTTTCTTTGTCTCTAATCAGCACCCCAGGTTCTATTGTTGAGTCCTATTTACACATTAGATAAGGTGAAAAGATAGATCACTTTGTAAGAATACCTAATTACAGACGATATTGTAAACTGATGTTATACCATTAAGTGATTCTAAATAAAGAAAAAAGAAAGTGTTGAGTGAATTTGAAAATTCTGTTTTTTTTTTTTTTTTGTGCAAGCTAAAAAAATTGACAGTGTGAGCTTAAAGGGGAATTTTTCCACCGAGATGTGTATATATATATATATATATATATATATATATATATATATATATATATATATAGTATTTGTTTTTGTTGCTGGGGTTTATGAAACTGAAAGGAGGTGAGATTATTTGATGTCTACACATAAAACTGAGGAGTGGAGAATTGTAGTAGAGCTCCATCTGCTGGTAGTTCATAAAAGTGCTTTAGTAATAGAGAACAGTACAGTGCACCAGTAATAAGTGGCATTATATGTACATTTTAGAGTGTAACTAATTGGCATAATATGAAAATTTTAACAGATTTTTAATCCTTTACCACATTAGACAAATATAGCTCAATGAAATGTTTTAAGAAATGCTTGGTTCACATAGAAAATGTCATATATCTTATCCTACATAAGAAAACAAATGATTTTAGCCTCAAAAAGTAATTTATAAAAAAGTCTGCCCACTTTTCTAAAATTGAATGTTTTTATTTTGTCCCTTGTGTTCTTAGCAATAATAAAAAAAAATACTTATAAGAATTTTGATTAGCAACACTGTCTTGTTGATAACATTTTGCGAATCATTCCATGATTTATAGTATTGTATAGTGTAGTACGGTACAATATATTATATAATTTTTTAAATAATACATCATTGTATCAAGCATTGTATCAGTGCAGATTTACATAAAATTGTGTTGAGGTCTCCCTTGGTCATGATATGACCACGTCCATTGCATTGCTGAAAAAGAGGACAATATGAATCCATGAAGAGCCTTTACACTGTGTCTAAAATTATAAACAGGCTGAGATGCTGTATGCCACAGTAAATTAGGCTTTCTATTTCGAGGTGAATAAAAGGTTAAAATAAATACAAGATACACAAAGCGACAAGAAAAAATAAAATAAAGAACATTACAAATCATTAACTCTATTTTGAAATCTCATGTTATTAACAATACATATTATACAGTTCCTTATTCTCTTTGAAGCAAATCAAGAAATTAACCTGGATTGCTGAATGCAACAGATTATACTGATTATGCTGATAATACATCTGTTCAATGTTTTACAAATATAATAGCCTTTATTATTATCTGTTTCCTGCTCTCTGGCATAAATTCCATCCGTCTTTAAAATACCTCTCACTGAAACCCCTCCCACTGAAACTCCTCCTACATGCTGAGTGTGAGACGTGTGCAGAGCTTTATGAGCTGTACTGTTGTGTTTTGCTGAGTCTACTTTTATTGGTGGGTTTATGGAGAATTCTGGAACTGGAGAATCTCTCTGAAGGGAAATGATCACTAACTGGATCTACAGCCGCCAGTTTGACTTGAAACAAACCTGAAATCAGAGACTGAGTGTTTCACAGAACTGAGAGTGAAAGTCTGAGCGTTCTCACTGGAAGAAACAGCAGGTGAAGAAAATGGCTTCTAAATCTTTCTCAGAGGAGGATCTCTCCTGTCCTGTGTGCTTTCAAATCTTCAAAGATCCTGTTATTCTGCGCTGCAGCCACAGTGTGTGTAAAGACTGTTTGCAGCGGTTCTGGGAAACCAAAGAATCCAGAGAATGTCCAGTTTGTAGGAGAAGATCTTCAATGGAGAACCCTCTACCAAACCTGGCTTTAAAGAACCTGTCTGAGAGTTTCTTACAGGAGAGAAGGCAAAGAAGTTCAACAGGGTCTGAAAACATCTGCCGTGTGCACGGTGAGAAACTCAGACTCTTCTGTCTAGACGATCTACAGCCTGTGTGTGTGGTGTGTTGGGTCTCTCAAATACACATGAACCACAAATTTCTCTCCCTTCAGGATGCAGCACTTGACTACAGGGTAGGCTATGAATGACCGCTCTTTGAAGAAGTTCTATGTGGACTTTATATCTAGTGTTTTTTCTTACAAAAATGGTAATTTGTTTCAGGAGAAACTCAAAACTGCACTGAAGCTTCTGAAGGAGAAACTGCAGATCTTTAAAAGGTTTAAACTGAATTTGGATCAGACTGCAGAACATATAAAGGTTAGAATAACAAAATCTTCTGAGATTATGATTCTGAACCCACATCCTCACATAATCATTCATATTTGATTTGATTTACTGCTTCCTTCCAGACTCAGGCCCAACACACAGAGAGACAGATTAAGGAGGAGTTTGAGAAGCTTCATCAGTTTCTACGAGATGAAGAGGCAGCCAGGATATCAGCACTGAGGGAGGAAGAGGAGCAGAAGAGTCAGACGATGAAGGAGAAGATTAAGAAGATGAGCAGAGAGATATCAGCACTTTCAGACACAATCAGAGCCACAGAAGAGGAGCTGGGAGCTGAAGATGTTTCATTCTTGCAGGTGAGTGCAATTAATGCAGCGTAAGAAAGTGTAGAATGAAAACAAACAATTCTGTTTTACAGAACTTTACTGAAAATGGGAACAAAACCACTCTCAACACTTCTAGTAAGTAAAACTTAAAAACTTAATCTAAAATCTTATAAAATTGTATAACCTTTTAAAGTAATATTAAGAATATATTAAAATGTGTAATTTTCATAGAATTATGACATTAACAATATCACCAACACTCAGCTTGCTCTGCCTCCTGATCTGCTGCTTTGTGGGTAATGTTAAAGTGTCTTGTTTTGCAGGGTATTCACTTGCATTTGGGCCCATGTTTGAGGGGCCCAGTTCCAAACCCTGCTTAAATATCTTAGGCTTCCAGTTAGTGGTTAGCAACCGTTACTATAGTGTGTTAATTAGCTTAAAATGACAGGTTGGCCAAGGAACACCTTCACAGCTGACGACAGAATAATTCTCACTATAATGAAGAAAAATCCCCATATATCTGTTGGACAGATCAGAAACATTCTTTAAGAGGTAAGTGTGGATTTGGAGTACTGTCCACAGAATACTTCATGAACAAGAATACAGAGGCTACACTGCAAGATGCAAACTACTAGTTAGCCACAAAAACAAGATGGCCACAGGGGTGACATTTAGAGGGGGTGCTAGGGAGTGCTAAAACACCACCTGAAAAATGTCCAGCAGCCCTTAAAAATGTTCGTTTGCAGATTAGAAATGTAATTGGGCTACCAGTTCTTACATTTTTTGCACCTTCAATAACATATACATCAATTTGTGTACCATGTATACAATCACATTTACCAAGAACGCTCAGTAAACTCCTGATATAAGATCATTCCTCTTTTAGCTTACTTTTAATCAAACATTAGCCTACCCTAAAACATTGATCTTGAACCAGTTATTAAAAATATATCACAAGATTGACACAGTTGATTATTTTTGGTTTGCTGTTTAAATATGGATCTCACTCTCTTGTTCCTTCCATAAGACAATGTAAAAGTTCAAAACTAAACAATAATCATAAGGAGAGTGATAACTCCTGCCACTTTGAGTCAGTAGGTTTCTTCTTCAGTCACAGTACTGCGTCAGTGCCCACAAGTGTGTTTATATTGCCATAGCCAGTGGTCGTTTTTACAGCTCCACCATAACATCGAAGTGGTAGCCTAACCATCACCTTGTTGGCACATCACCTCCATAATCGTATTTCTGGTGAAAAAGTACATCACTTCCTTCCTGAAGGTCTGACACAGGGGTAGGCCTGGGTGGGCCTGGTCCTAACCAGATTGATCACATGACCAATATGGACAGAATATTTATTAAGCTGTAGTTTTAAGATAAAGTAAGATGATAAGATAATGTGTGTGTGATTGTGTATGTATGTCTGTCTGCCCTGCGATAGACTGGCGACCTGTCCAGGGTGTATCCTGCCTTCCGCCCAATGACAGCTGGGATAGGCTCCAGCACCCCACCGCGACCCAGAAAGATAAGCGGTTTAGATGATGTATGTATGTATGTAAGATGATAACATGAAATTTAAGATGAAATTTGACCTGGAGTGCTGTCTCTTTATTATGGCTAATGAAATCATTACACTTTCTGCCACTCTCCTTCGTCAAGCCTTGAATTCATTATCTGTGCTAGTGTTTGAATTTGCAGCTCCAGCTGTGGGTAAAACATGTAACTGTAGAATGTGTAAAGTGAGCTTTTGTCCCTTATAGAATACAGTTTAAAAAATCTGTTCAAGAAAACTGAACTGACAGTAAATGTAACTGGTTTAACCCTTGAGTGGTGTTCGGGTCTGTGGGACCCATTTTCAATGTTTACCAAAAGAAAAAAATATTAATTATTATTTCAACCCCAGATTCTTTGGCTTTTGCTTATTTTCTGTGAAGAACATATAAAATAACATATTTTCCATGACTTCACACTGTACACATTTACATTACACATGTGGTATTGGGGTGAACCCACGGGGAATAAAAGAGTGGAAGTGCTGTGTTACTTCACTCTGTTCTCCTCTTACATGGCCTGCTGTTAGTATGTGTGTGTGTGTGCCTGTGTGTGTATGTGTGATGTTGGATATTCTCAGATTCACGCCTGGTTGAGTGGTTGGCCGGGAATCCTGGGTCTACCAAAATTAAGGACTGTGACTCCAAAAGTAAGTGCAAATATGCCAATGTTTATTAAGTGAATTACAAAAGGAAAAAAGAAAAAAAACTGGAAGAAAACGAAAAGAAAATGAGTTCTCTCATAGAACAAGTACATAGAACTGTTTAGGACCTCAAACACCCATTAGCTTGGTCCAAACTCTGCCCTGGCTTAACCTCAGCACAGGAACTTTTTGTCACAAGGTTGCGAGACCGAAGAGACTTCCCTCAAACTCTTGTTTCAAAAAAGACCTCCCCGCTAGCCTGACCTTCCCGTGTGTTTAAACCTCTAACCCCACCCTGGGTTAAACCAGTTAACACAAAGGGGTAGGTGCTCTGCAAACATAATCCAATAATTAGGTAATTACTCCCCACCATGTTTAAAACTGACATATCAGCAGGGCTGTACACATTCTACAGGTAAGTATACTTTTACATGGCTTACAGTAACAATATTCTTTTCCTTTTCAGGTTTACTGACGACAGGATCACTCCCCTCTCTCCATATGGTTGTGGGCCCTTACAGTCTGGATCAAAGGGAATGATAAAGGGAATGCTTATCAAATTCTGGACTCCTTAACACAGGCTCTGAGCACAAGCACTCTTTTAAGTATTTAAAAGCTGCCTCACACTCCTGAGTCCATTTCACATGTTGTGGCATGTCCTTCTTTACCAAGTCCGTCAGGACTGCTGCTTGTTCTGAAAATCTCGGGATGAATCTCCTATACCACCCGACAAGTCCCAAGAAGGATCTCACCCTTCGCTTGGTTGTTGGCACCAGACACTGTCTAACCACCTCTACCTTTTCAACCTACAGACAGTTCCACCTTCCAAGGTGTATCTGAGATAGGAGACGGAACTCCTTGCAAGATGACATTTAGCTGGATTCACTGTCAGTCCTGCTTCCTGAATCTTTCAAAGCACAGTCTCCATGTGCCAGATGTGCTCGTCATGTCATGCTGTAGATGACCACGTCTTCAATGTATGCTGCCGCAAAGTCTTCTGTCCCTTTCACCACCTCATCTATGAGCCTCTGGAATGTGGCTGCTGTTCCATGGAGTCCAAATGGCATCACAGAGAAATGGAATTAGCCATTGGGCTTCTGGAACGCCGTTAGCTCTTCGGCCGACTGGTCCAGTGGCACAGAGGTCGAGTGTTGACAAGAACTTTGCTTTACCCAATCCCTCAATAAGTTCATCGCTCTTGACATTGGGTAGGGGTCAAAAGCAGATACCACGTTTAGCTTTGAGACTAGTTGATGGTTCAATCACCCCGAGCTGCAGCATGGTTTCTACTTCCATCTTCAGGTCAGGAATCAGGTGTGCTGGCACCCTACAGTTTGTCTGTTTTATGGGATCTGATCTCAGAAGACAGATGCTGTGTTGTATTGTGCTGGTCCTGCCTGGCTCTTCACTGAAGAGGTTTGGCGGAATAATCCTGCTCAGCTCCTCTCGTTGGTTTGGTCTCAGGTGCGTTAGGTCAGGTGATGGGCTGGTGTCATCAACTGATGGGAAGTACTGTTCGCTGCACTCCTCTTCCTCATCCACAGCTGGTACCCACAGGGGCTCTGAGGTGTTGTCTTTGGGCTCATTCTAGGCTCGAAGCATGTTGATGTGGAAAACTTGTAATTTTTTCTTTTTGTCTGGGAGTGACAGCTCGTATGTTGTCTGGTTGATACACCTAATTACTTTATAGGGACCTTGCCATTTTGCCAACAAGCTGGTATCTGATGAAGGCAGGAGGACGTGCACTTTCTCCTGGGATTAACTCTCTATCCTTCACTGTCTTGTCAAACGATTCTTTTTGACGTGTTTGGGCCTTCTCCATATTTCAGTCTTTGGTCAGGGTTTTGTCCTTCCCAGGCAATGATACGTCATTTGTGAGGTTAAATGTAGTTGTTGGGCCAATGCCTTAAGGATATTGTGGGTAAAATTAGCAAAACGCTGTTGATTATACCAACCATAGTTATTCCAATCAACATTTTTATTCATTTGAAGAGAGTGGAGAGTAGAAGAGAATCCTGCTGCTATTGAATTCATCGCTTTAAATTCATCTGGAATTCCCTGAGGTACCCTGATTGTATCTATATAGACACATCTGTGTTTTCAGTCATCAGAGATTGCTTGGGCCCTTGGCTTGAGGTGCCCTTGATCTGTTTAGCCTCTCTGCTGGGATTATCTGCAGTCTTTCAGCAAACATGACTAAGCAACATAAACCAGTCCACCGATCGGGTAGGAAGCGGCACAGTTTATTGCCACCACAGTGCCAGAAAATATCCTGGCGAGGCTTACCTTAATCATTAATTACATAAACCCTGGGTTTTAACATGTGTTAATGAGTAACTTACCTACATCCTTGGCATAGGAAATAACAGGGGCCAGATAAAAACACTCATAATCAGCATCTAGATTATCAACAAACTGGTATGGAGGTCTGGAAAAAAAATTCTTTGCTCAGGCCTGTGACGTGATACAGGCCTTTAATTTTTCAGAACAATTATGGTTTGAAAAAAAACATCCTTAAAGATAGAGGATACCATTATGTTATGTGCAGACATACACAAATAGCATGGTGTATTGCCAATGGTGGTGCACACAGTAAAATTGGCCTTATGATACCACAAATTGTTAGACAATGAATGTTGCAAAAATGGGTTCCGTTCCAACCCTCCCAATGCAGGAGAGAGTGAAAGCAGGAATATAAGATATAGGAACAGCAACTCAAACATAAGCAAAAACAAAGTTATTTAAAATACATACTCATATGGTCGTGTATCAACAGTTTTCTGGCCTGTTTGCAACTTTGCGCTGTGGGACAGGCAGCCTAGGCCCCTAGGGGAGAGGT